CCAAGCATCATCGAACGTTGACTGCAAGTTTTTGGGAATTCCGTCCGCCATAGCTGAGCTTCAAGCACACCTTTTGCAACGAAAGTCCCACAGACGGCGCCAAATGGTAACACAAAACTTCCTGACCGGCTGGAACTTGAGTAATCGCCTTCCTTCTCGCCGGTTGAACGTCGTGCACCTACAAAGAACTCTCACACCGGAGGGGTTTTCCGGTGAAGAGCCTCCGAAGCTTAAGTCAGTGTGCATTCAATCAATTCTCAAGAGTAATAGAATGATCGTGTTGAAGGAGAAAGGCTCACCCCCTTTATATAGAGGTGAGATAACTTACATAGGGCTGCCCGGATTTGATGAGCTGTCTGCCCTAACTGCCCGTCCGTACACACCAAACGCGTGTGTCAGAGGTAGCCGTCGCCACTATCGCCTGCACCAATCCCCTTTGGACGCGTGTCCTCCTGCACATGGGATATGCTGTCAGAGGTGGTTATCGCTATCCTCCACTGCTTTCCCGACACGTGTCCCCCTGCACATGGGGTAAATATTCTCCTGGAATTCTGTCAGATGCTTCCTTCACGCGCCCGTGACTAGGCCGAATAGCGTGGTGTTAAGTCCTCGAAGTAGTCGACCTGATGAGGTCGAATAAATTGCTCGATCGCGTATCTGGTCGAAGGATAGTTCGGTCGACAGCCTTGCTTGGTCGACTAGTTAATTGCTCGACTCCTTTGGCTTCCTCATAATATGACCTCCTCGACCGGTCAACAGACCGGTTCAGCCTTGTGGGTATAATATCCCATATCAGGCAGCAAGGGGAATATTCACGGATTTTGCGGACGACATAGAAAATTTACTCAAAATCTTCTCCACATAAAAAGTTTGATTAAGAAAAATCACAGATTTTTTCCTATCACGAATAATGTTCATTCCAAGAATCCTTTTAGCATCCCCAAGGTTTTTCATATCAAAATTATCACTTAGACATTTTTTAACATGCTCAATTGACTTAATACACGGACCGATCAGCAACATATCATCCACATAAATGAGCAAGAAAACAGGAACATTGGCATTTTCTTTAAAGTACAAACAATGATCATATGAACTCCTTTTAAACTTTAAAGAAAGCATGAATGTATCAAATTTCTTGTTCCATTGCCTAGGAGATTGTTTCAATCCATATAAGGATTTCTTTAATAAACACACATAATCAGATTTTTTAGCATCCACAAAACCGACAGTTTGTTTCATATAAATTTTCTCATCTAATTCACCATGCAAAAAAGCAGTTTTAACATCCATTTGCTTCAATTCTCAATCAAAATGAGCAACTAATGCAAGCATGATACGCATGGTGGTGAACTTAACAACAGGTGAAAAAATCTCGGTATAATCAATACCTTCACGTTGAGTAAAACCTTTTGCCACGAGTCTAGCCTTAAATCTAACAGAATCATTTTCTTGTTTAACCTTATACAATCATTTGCAATCCACTTAGGAACATTTATCAGGTTTAGGAACAAGAGACCACGTATGATTCACATGCAACGAATTAATTTCTTCACGCATAACATTCATCCATTTCACAGAGTTAACAGATTTAAGAGCTTCCTTATAAGACTTAGGCTCACAATTATCAATGGATTCAAAAACACCAAAAGCATATGAAGTCATGTGAAAATCATCAAACTTAGAAGGTTTCTTACGTTCCCTTCTAGTCCTATCTCTAGCAAGTTGATAATCATGCAAGTCAACATCATTTTTAGGCACATTTTCCACATATTCATCATGCACATCGACTTTCGAAATTTTCAGCATGCTGATTTTTAGTTTCAGCACGCACGGGGTCATTTTCAGCAATTTCAGCAGGCTGATTATCAAGCACAGCACGTTCGGTTTGAATTTCAGCAGGCAAATTTTCAGTATTATTGAAATAACTTAAACCGGTCAATTGCTCCACCGCATTTGGAGCATTTTCAGCATTTTCAGATTTATTAGCAGGCAAAGAAGCAATTAAACATGGCATTTCAGATTCATTAAAGACAACATCTCGACTTATCACGACCTTAAAGCCGGGTACGCTTCTAAACCACAATCTATAACCTTTAACACCTTCAGGATATCCTAAGAAAACACATTTGATTGAGCGAGATTCAAGTTTATCAAGTTTCGTATGACAAAATGCAGCACAACCGAAAACACGCAAGTTTGAAAAATTAATTTCCTTTCTGGACCAAACAAATTCAAGACATTTACCATTTAAAGGCACGGAAGACGACCTATTTATCAAATAAGCAGCAGTTAAAACGGCCTCACCCCAGAACTTTTTTGAAAGCCCCGAGCTAGACAACATACACCTCACTCTTTCAAGTAAAGTTCTATTCATCCGCTCGGCAACACCATTTTGTTGAGGGGTGTAAGGCACGGTTTTATGCCTTTGAATACCAGATTGAGAACATAATTCATCAAACAAATTATTGCAAAATTCCAGCCCATTATCAGTCCTAAGAATTTTAATCTTTTTACTGGTTTGGTTTTCAATCAAGGTTTTCCAAGTCTTAAACGTTTCAAACACATCGGACTTATTTTTCAAAAGGAACACAAAGACCTTCCTAGAAAAATTATCAATCACCGATAAGAAATACCTACTCCCGCCGTGTGTCGAAACACTAGCGGGACCCCAAACATCGACATGCAAATATTCAAGAATTCCCGAACACACAGAGGGTTTAGGGGAGGGTGAAACAGGAAATTTAACATGTTGTTGCATGCCAAACACACAAGAATCACAAAACGGCACACAAGATAATTTATCGTTACCAAAACAGCCCGCTTTTTGCAAAATTTCAAGACCACGACTACTCATATGACCTAAACGTCTATGCTAAAGATCAGTTTGGTCCTCATGAACAGCATTCACAGAAATTTCAGCATGTAATTCACAAGTAACAGTGCAAACATACAAGTTTTTCCGTTTTTCAGCTTTGAAAATAACCAATGACCCTTTCATAATTTTCATAACACCTTTACCCCATTTACCCTCTAACCCATCATCCTCAAGGGCAGCACAAGATATCAAGTTATGGTGCAAGTCGGGAACATGACGAACATTTTTCAAACAAAGCACATAACCGGAATTAAACTTAAGCCATACATCACCAATACCAGCAACATCACAAAGTTTCTCACTAGCCATTGAAACAGAGCCATTTTTAACCTCTTTGTAGTTAGAAAACAAATTTCTAAATGGAGACATGTGAAAAGTGCAACCAGAATCAACTAGCCATTCATTTTCACACAAATAAGAATGCATAGAATTCACTCGAGTAGTAATAATCTTGGTGATGTGTTTGTGGTGAACGACTTACGATTTAGCATAATGTCCCATTTCGCCACAATTGTAACACTTACGATTTTTTGGACGGGATTTAGAACGACTTTTTCCTTTTCCCTTTTTCTTTTCAGGTTGGTTACCATTATTATTGGAAGGCTTTAGATTTTGAAATCTATTTTGTTGCCTTCCTCTAACAAATTGAACCTCACCCGAATTTCTACTCCCTTTATGAGCTTTTAAATCTAACTCTTTACTCTTTAATCCATTCACAACAGTTTCAAGTGTCACATTCTCCCTACCATACTTAATAGCAGATTTGACATCACTGTAAGAATCAAGAATAGCATTTATAAGCACAATAGGAGTATAATCATCAATATGCTTATCACCGGTCAATTTAATATCCTGAACAAGTTTAGTAAACACATCAAGATTTTCATCAATTTCTTTCGAAAGATCAAGTTTAAACCGGAAAAATTTTTCAAGCAAGAAAAATTTACTCGGCAACGAAGTCTCAGTATATAGTTCTTCTAATTTTTCCCATGGATCTTTAGCAGAATCAAGTTTACCAACTTTTCTAAGCACAAAGTTAGACAAATTCAAGATAATTGATGAATAAGCAAATTGATCCATTTCAGCAATTTTATCTTCAGACTCATTGGGTGAAAACGAGCCTTCAACGGCTTTAAATACCTGTTGACATGGTTTTTAAAACCACACCAATTAGTCGGTGATCATCGACATCAAGAGCTTAAGGACAAGACGATGTCGATTTACAAGAAGTTATTTATCAACAACTCGCGAACTGAGTACAAGTGAACCGATATCTGACATGACCATATCGGTACAGTCTGCAACAAACCGATATCCCGTATAATCATATCAGGACATTCATATCGGGACATTCATATCGGGACACTGCAAAGGCGGTGTCAGACATCAAAAGGCGGTGCCACCTCAGCAAAGCAATCATTACTGTTCAATTGGGTAGCGCGCTGCATGAAAAGCACTCTTTTGCCGCCGTTGACTTGTCAATTGTAATGATTACTACTATATCTATCTTGTACAGAACTATAAATAGCAAGAAAGACAAAAATAAAAGGGATTGAACATTCAGAAATAAATATACTCTTGCTCGACTTTAAGTTCTTTTCATACATATTATGTTCACCAAATCATCGTTGTTAATCTGCATATAACAACAGATTGGCGCTAGAGGAAGGGCCCTCATACATATTTGAGGTTAATCTTCCCTGTAACACACTTTGCTCGCTCTTTGTTTCATACAAAATGTCACAATCTGGTCGAGATCATGTGTCCCATGCTGAACACAGTCGAAACACAAATCAGTCTGCACGACGAACAGCACAACCACCACCAGTGCCAAATTTGACGAATTTTCTTCAAGACCCAGAGTTTGTGCAAGGTTTATCATCACTCATAGCTCGCACTGTGCCCAGAACATCAAACACTGTGCCCTTGCAAACACCTTTTCCCACGAATACTATGGAACAACCACATCCTGAACAACCAAATCAAGAAACGCATGCAGCAGCATCACATGCTACGTCTCAGCCACATCAGCAATCGCAACCTCAAGGAAGACTAGGACAGTTGACACAAAATCCGGTGTCTGAACGAGTAAATATTCTGGAACATCACGTACATGAGCAAGAAATGACTGCGGAAAGCCACTCTGCTCATCATCATAGAGTTCCTTCACATCCTAGACATCGCTCTCCGCTACCTCGTGAACGTGAAGATTTGCATCATCAGATTGAACGAAATCGTGTGTCCAGACATGGTTCAGAAGAATTGGAAGCTCTACAAAAAAGACTAGCTGAACTGGAATCTCGACAAAGATCGCAAGAAGAAGTTCCCCGACATGTCTCGACGTCGGGTAATATTGTCATTGAAGCTGATTCACCTTTAGCACCAGAACTTACAAGGGATATGCTACCTGCTAAAATCAAGATTCCACAAATCGGTATGTATGATGGTGCTTCTGATCCCGATACACATTTAGGACTCTACACGTCATGGATGGACTTACATGGTGCAACCGATGCTTTACGATGTCGCATGTTCTCACTTACATTAGGGCCACGAGCGCAAAAATGGTATTATACTTTGCCCCCTCATTCTATTTGGCGATGGCAACAGTTACGTTCTGCTTTTCGAACATATTTTATCGGTGCCCAAGTTTGTCTTATCCCGAAAGAGTCAATCACTAATATTGTACAAAAAGATGATGAAACAGTGAAAGATTATGTATCTCGTTTTAATGATCGAATTCAAAACATGGAGCCTTGTCATCCTGAAACCTTGCTGGTAACTGCAATTGCTGGATTAAAGCCCAATTCTATGTTTCGTTGGACCCTTTGTCAGAATAAGCCGGCTACCTTTCAAGAATTTCTTGTGCGAGCTCAACAGTATATTATAGCAGAAGAATCGATGTCGGTTCCTACTTTTGATTTCCCGGATAAACACGAAAAATTAGATTCGGAAGGGAAAAAGAAGAACAAGAAAAATTTTGGTAAAAATCAATATCGGGGATATTCAAAACGGCTTGAAAAAACTCCAGAATCACGAGCTGCCCGAGATCAATATGTTAACAATATGAGAACAGGTTATCACACAGTTTATTCAGTCGGGGAAGCCACTATTTTTGAAGAACTAAAAGGAAAAGGAATTATCCCAGATCCAAAACCTGTGAGAACATCTGAAGATAAACTTGACAAATCTCGTTATTGCGCATATCATAAGTCACCAGGACATAATACCGACGAGTGTTTTGATCTTTTATCATCCCTTTTACGTCTAATCGGACAACCTCAACTTCAAAAATTCAGAAGGTCTGACACTCGCCGTAAGGGAAGGCCTGCCGATATCTCAGATGATGAAGATGAAGATGATCGAGACAATAATCTGAAACGAATTCGTACGAATGACAAGGAAGTTTTCACATTTTCTACTCTTAATGATGGAGAGTGTAAAAAGTTTAAGGCACATGATGTACCGATATCTTCACAGTGCATTCCACGAATAAATGCAAACACCAAACAACTTGATACATCTCGGAGAAAAGCTAAAGCCTATGCTCGACAAGCACAGAATGCTGGAAAACAAGTCATGAATGTTGATCTTCGGGATGTCATCAACAAGCGAAATTGTCCAATCACCTTCACTATTGATGACGCTAATATGGTTGCCCACCCGCACTCTGATCCTCTTGTTATCACGACTCCAATTGGAGGAATTCCTGTTCACCGAATTCTAGTTGACACCGGGGCTTATTCGAGGATTCTAATGTTCCATACTTTCAAGAAAATGGGCTTGGATCCTGCCGACATTAGACCATGCAATGATCAGATACAAGGTTTTAATGGGAGTATTTCCTATCCTCTTGGAGAAATTCTATTACCAATTCGGTTTGGAGGCTTTGGACCAAAATTAAAGATAATCATGGAAACGTTCAAAGTTATGGACATTCAGAATGAGTATAATGCTGTTGTTGGACGTACTGCCCTCTACAAACTCCGTGCAGCTGTTTCAATTTTTCATTATGCTTTAAAATTCTCGACTGTTGAAGGAGAGGGTACTCATTATGGAGATCAACGAGAAGCACGCAATTTAATCTTCACTGCAACGTCGCGGAGCATTCATTCCTATGAGTCACATGATCCTGACAATCCCAATCAAGAAGAATTAATGAATGTTTCGCCTCTCAGAACAAGTATAACAGATCAACCTGTCGCACGTACCGACATCTCTTTCATACCCGATACTGATATGCCTACGACATCGGAAATGCCTTCTATGTTGAATGAATCATCAAGTCAAGAGCTGATAGCGGTTGAACATCTCGAACAGTCACCAAATGATATTGATCCCAGGATACCATTCAAAGAGAAGAGTCATCATGTCCGAGCAGAACCTGTGGAAAATGTTGAAATTATTTACGTGGATGAAATAACGCAGGAAAAACCTTTGCGTATCGGAGCAAACCTTCAAGAACCAATACGCTCTCAATTGATTCAGTTTCTTCGGTCAAACCCTGATGTATTTGCGTGGAAACATGAAGATATGAAGGGTATAGATCCTCAAAAAGCTTGCCATCGTCTGAACTTAGATAAAACTGTTAAGCCTGTCATACAGAAGCGACGTAAGTTTGGACCTAATCGATAGAAAGCCTTGGAAGAAGAAGTAAACAAGCTCATTGATAATAAATTCGTGAAAGAAGCTAAGTATCCGACGTGGATATCAAATCCAGTCCTCGTTAAGAAAACCACTGGTCTTTGGCGTCTATGTATTGATTTCTCGGACTTAAATCAAGCATGTCCAAAAGACAGTTATCCAGTGCCACACATCGATTACATGGTAGATGCCACGTCGGGTCATCAGCTAATGAGTTTTTTGGATGCATATTCTGGTTATAATCAAATCCCCATGCACCCTGAGGATGCTGAACATACCTCGTTCTATTCAGCCAGAGGTATTTATTGTTATGTCATGATGACATTTGGATTGAAAAATGCTGGGGCCACATATCAGAGGTTGGTCAATAAAATGTTTGCCCGGTTGATTGGTCACACGATGGAAGTATACATAGATGACATGCTGGTCAAGTCAAAGCACGCTCCTGATCATATCGCTCATCTTTCCGACGTCTTCGCCATTCTTCGTGAATACTCAATGGTGCTTAATCCAAAAAAGTGCACTTTTGGCGTTGGTTCAGGAAAATTCTTAGGATACATGGTTAGTCAAAGGGGAATCGAAGCCAACCCAGCGAAAATTCAAGCAATATTTGATCTGCAATCAAATATTTTTTGGAACATTCCATCATTGTGTTCACTTCTTATCCTCTCCGACAAGTTCTTCATCGACCCGATACGTCGGGTAGAATGATAAAATGGGCAATTGGACAATTTGACATTCAATATCGACCGCGAACTGCAATCAAAGCTCAAGTCTTGTCCGATTTTATAGCCGAATTCACTCCACCGATAACTGCCATGACAGAAGATTCAACGTGGACTCTTTACGTTGATGGATCCTCTACTACTTTGCGAGCTAGAGCAGGGATTGTTTTAGTCAGCCCTACTCAACAAGTCTTCTGTTATTCAGTGGCATTCACATTTCCAGCTACAAACAATGAAGCTGAATATGAAGCACTCTTATCAGGTTTACAATTTGCTGAATCCATGAACGTGACTTCACTTCGGATATTTTCAGATTCTCAATTACTAGTTAGTCACGTCAATGGAACATATGAAGTTAAAGAACCACGCTTACTTTCTTATTTTGACCTCGTCAAAAAGAAGCTGTCGAAGTTCCGGATGACGTTAGAACATATACCTCGAACATCAAATGTTCAAGCGGATGCATTATCACGCTTAGCTTCTTCCACCGATTTGGATAACGTTGAATTTGTACAAATTCTTCAACAGACGACGTCCTCAACAACCGTTACCGACGTCGTAATGACTGACGCTGCTCAAAACATAGGAAACCCAACATGGATGGATCCTATCGTAAATTATCTTCAACTGGGGCCATACCTGATGATCCCAAAGAGGCCCGTGCTCTTCGTGTTCGTGCTGCTCATTTTACCTTCGATCATGACACTTTGTATAAACGAGGATATTCTTCTGCATTACTAAAATGTTTGTCAGAAACTGATGGCCGACGTGTTCTCGAAGAAGTCCATGAAGGTGTCTGTGGTACCCATCAAGGAGCGCAAGCATTGTCTTACAAAATTCTCCGACAAGGTTACTACTGGCCATCTCTCAAGAAAGATGCAGTTGATTGGGTACAAAAATGCCATAAATGTCAAATATTCGCTCCCAATGTAAATCAACATCCTGAACAGCTTAAGTCAATTTATAGTCCATGGCCATTTGCAAAATAGGGAATAGACCTTATCGGTCCCCTTCCAACAGCGAAAGGAGGAGTTCGCTTTGCCGTTCTAGCTATTGATTATTTTACCAAGTGGGTAGAAGCCGAACCTCTCGCTACTATCACTGAACACAAAATGGTTGACTTTGTTTGGAAGTCTATTGTATGTCGGTTTGGAATACCAAACTCTATAATAACCGACAACGGGCGTCAATTTGAAGGCAAAACCTTTGAGACTTTTTGTGAAGACTACGGTATCAAGCATTTCTTCTCTTCACCATATCATCCACAAGCCAATGGACAAATAGAGGCTGTGAACAAAATTATCAAGAATGGCTTGAAAACCCGACTGGAATCTGCAAAAGGATCCTGGCCAGATGAATTACCTCACGTTCTTTGGGCTTATAGAACAACTACGCGGAATTCAACTGGAGAAACTCCATTCTTGTTAACTTATGGAACAAAAGCTATAATACCTATTGAACTTGCTTCTCCAACATATCGGGTTACTCATTTTTCAGAAGAAACGAACTCAGATAACTTGAGAGCTACTCTTGATCTGACCGATGAATTACGAACAAAGGCTGAGATCCAAAATGCTGCTTACAAACGACGAAGTGAGAAATATATTAACTCTAAACTCAAGCCACATTCTTTTATCACTGGCGATCTCGTGTTAAAAAGAAGCACTGGGGATAAGTCGGTTCATTGCAACCAAAATGGGAAGGACCTTTCAAGATAAATCGTCTAATCTCTAATGGTACTTATCGGCTTGAAACTATGGATGGTATTCCACTTCAGTACCCATGGCACGCAACTTTTCTCAAGAAGTATTATCAGTAATGTAAGAGTTCCCGACGAAGTGACTGTATAAAGACTTTTGCTGTACAAAGCCTACTCCGGTACGACATCATTTTTGTTGTCAATAAAGATTTTGTGACGAACCTCAATAATTTGTTCGCTCACCCGGACCACAATAAATCGGTCCCTATTGCTAAGGCTAAACGAGTCCGTACCCTGAAGTTGGTATGGCCTAGCCAAATGTAATACAGCCAGATACGCCCAAGCCCTGAAGGTGGCTCGGGGAGACTGATGGCCCTCATGACTAAATCCTAAAGTTGATTTGGCGGGTTTACAATATATAACCGACATCAATAAAGAAGTCGGATTAAAGTCTCTGGCTTACAATAAATAAATTTAAAATCGCTCAACACGTTCAAATCCCATCGATGATTTGACGAGCTGACATTAAATTTTGCCGAGCCTCATTTAAACATCTCGGTATCTTACATTCACAGATATCGGAAACACAATAAAAAATTCGATATAATAAGTATCCAAATCCAATAAACACGTTTTGGTACTTTATACATTCTAATTTATATATGTCAGAAATATTATAAATTATTCCGATATCACATGTAAGTCTGAAAAAATGACTTGATACATCTGACATTAAAAGTTTAATGATATCGAAAATCCAATAAATAACTTCGATATTTTGCGTACAATCAAAGTCTGCGATAAATACATTATGTCGGAATAATTTTGACATTAATTAACATTCATTCCGACATACCAATAAAACCAAAATCCAAGCTTAGAATTTCATTTAAAAACATAAAGTCATTACATCAATCGTTTTCCATTCAAAACATATGAATCAAACAGAAAATCACAACATCACTACTCTATGGATTTTCTTTGCTCGTCCCTGATGTCTCTCCAAGCACCGACGTTGAAGGAATCTCATCAGCGGCCTTCGCCTTATCCAACTCATCCAGATGATCAATTACCCTTTGACCCAGGCGTTGGAAGACTTCATCTTCCTTTCTCTCTAAAGCTTGATGGAGATCGCTTTCCCTAATAATTACAACGTCGTCGGCATGAAGGACATCGTCATCGTCAGACGAAACCGGATCAGCTACCCATCCTCTGATCTTCGCATCCTCCTCAGCCACTTTCCGCATGGCAAAGCCGGTTATTGCGCCCAACAAATCTTCATCAAAAAGATTCTCGAGCATCTCGGCTACAAAAGCCTCTGCAACAACTTCAACACAGACATAAGCTAATTCCGGTTTTTTCGTCTTCTCAACCTCAAGCACCATATCAATGAAAGCCCGACGAATGGTGGCCTTTCAATCCTCTGACAAGGGAGCCATGTCTAATTCCAACAATTTATTGTCTTTGCGCCTCAACAATTTATCAGCAAATGATCGCTCGTCTTCATCGGCGGGGATATGAGCACTTTTAATTTCAGGCCTCAGACGATATTTCTCAATTTTCTCCAAAAGGAAGATCCGCAACTCATCCACAGTATAGATCCCCTGCTCCACCCGGTCGATAACCCAATGTAAAGTCAAGGCAGCATTAAGCTCCAAATCCCTCTCAGTAACGACATTCTCCTTTGTCGGTTCAACTGTCAGATCCACTGATTGAGTTGCCGATGCTTTGCCGACATCGATACCTTCTTGGTACTTTTTGTCGGCCACA